ACGCTCTTCTCAGGCATGATGTTCCAAGGGCTCAGAGGTCACCTCCCAGGAGGTGCAGGGCATGGACAAGCCAGACCTGTTGCCTTGACCCCTTCCTGTGCGCGTGGTCCTAGTGGGGACACCTCGGCTGACTTGGTACGGAAGTGGCACCGTGCTCCACCTTCCTGAGCCACGCGGCACATCGGGTCACGGCACCCCGTCCCTGTGACCCCGGGGGCTTGCAGCCCCTGGGCTTGGGTCGGAGGCGGTGGGGGGGAGCGTTCTCCTGCTGCGTCTCCTCCTTTACTTCATAGCATTTGTTGTCATAACTGAAAAAAGCCCCTTCTTGCCGTTTCCCAGAGATCGTGTTCTTTTGGTGGTCCTGCGGAGCCCTCTAGAACGCCTCCACGCTGCCTCTGCATGGCTGGACCCCTTGCCCAGGGGGCATTGGGCTTGAGTCCAGTCATGACCAAGTTATGATGAAGCTGAAGCCTCTCTGTGACCCCCTGAATCCCCCCAGGGCCCGCTTTCAGAGCAGTCCCAGCCCACACGGGTCAAGGCCACCAGACCTCTCAGCCCTGGGCCAAGGGCAGGGGTCTCCCAACGGTCCTGCCGCATCTCCCAGCATCAGAGCAGCGGTGCTTACAGAACAGATGTGCGTCTGCGTGTAGCAGACGCTTGTCGGTCGCCTCCTCAAAATCCAGTTGCAGGGCATGGCAGAGCTGGGATGTGGGGAGGAACTGGGTTCCAGTACTATTATCACCTGGATCCAGCTGTCCCTGAAGCCACTTGCAATAAATTACAAATAAATTTAAAAAATAAGTCCTCTAGACTCTGCAGTAAATTAGTATACACACATACACATATATATTTTAAATTCTTTGCTTAAGCAAATTTGCACTGGATTTTCTGCTTTTTAAGCTGAAAGGGCTCCACCCGATGTGTGTGGTGTGTTACTGCACACTCTCCTGTCCTCGGGAACACTGTCCTCCCATGCCTTGCTGGGCCTGGGATTTGCTCAAGCAGCAGGAGCGATTCTGGCTTTCCCTTTGAGGATTCAGATCCCCCGTAAGAAACTTCAGCCTGCCGAAATAAAAACTGACAGAGTGATCAATCCCAGTTGTCACTCTCACGTCACAAAAGAAGACATCAGGGTGAACTTTGAAAGAGCTGACCTTTACAATCTGCCTTAATTGATAGAAACCTGCTTTACAGAAACTCTGATTTGAAGGCGCAGAGCTCTCTGCCTCCCTGAATTAGAGAATGTGGATTTTATTTAGTTACTTACCTGGTTGTTTATATCCCATTTCTTCCCAAAAAGGGAATGAGGAGGCTTTGGCACCGGGCACATGTGCAGACCACCCCTCCTACCCCCATGGGCGATGTGGCTGATGAATCAGAAGTGGAAAGGGGCCTTCCCACGCCCCTCCCCTCACGCCCCTCCCCCCAGTCCCCTCCTGTCCCGCAGGCTCTGCCCGGGGCCTCTCTGGAGCTTGTTGCCTCTGTCACTCAACCCAGAGCTTCCCTCTGCACTCAGGGGACTGCATCATGGGGATTATTCAAAGCAGTGACAGCCCTCATGAGAGCCTCGCTTAAAACGGGCTCCAGTCCCCCAGGGCCCTTTCTGACGAGGAACTGGGGTCTTCTCCTGAGCATGACCAGGCATCCAGTCTTCTATATTTGGAAGTGAGATCTTCCCTGACCCTTAGTCCTCCAACAGGAATTTCCCTTATTGCCTACCATTCTGGGGGCTGGGTTGGTAAGACTTAAAACCCAGTTTGAAACAGCTGAAGCAAAAAAAGGGAATGTATTGGCTCAGGCGCTGAAGGGTAGGCTTTCAGGCATGGCTTGATCTAGGGGATGCCGCTGTTAGCCATCAGCTCTGCCTGCCTTCAAGTCGGCCCTTGGGTCAGTCAGGATCCTGGAAGGAAATTGGTGACATCCTCAAGAGGGATGTGGGCAGAATCTAGGAACCCCACGAGGGACGTTGAGGCACCCAGGGAGTGCAGCAGTGGCTGAAAAAGCTGCTGAGTAAAATACAATATCCTTGTGCCTGATGTTCTGCAGTGGGCGGTGTCAGAAAACTTTTCCTGAAAAAGGCCGTGTGTAGAAACCTCACTGTTTTTCTTTACTCTCACAAGACTGCCACACTCACAACACTTATGACATCAGATGTGTGGGGCTTTCCCACACCAACCAATTCTCTGACACCAGCTGGGTGTCCTACACTTCGATTCAGTTCTGACACTCTCTGCCCGGAGTCGGCATCAGACCCCACAGGTGCAGAGCTCAGATGCCAACCTCAGATCCGGGCTGCCCCAGCACTTCTGACCCCTGCTCGGCCTCAGACGCTTGCTAGGACTGCTCACGGAACTTAGGGACACACTTGTGTTTACTGGCGTGTTATAGAATGAAGACGCTGTGAAGGACACGGGGGAAGAACCAGACGAAGCGCCGCACAGAGGGAGGCCTGGGAGGGTCCTGAGCACAGGAGTGTCTGTCCCTGAGGAGCTGGGGTGTCCCACCCTCCGGGCACTGGGTGTGTTTGGGACCCAGAAACTCTCCAAATCCCGTACTCCAGAGGCTTTTGCGG